CCCCACTCCTCCTCTTTCGATTGGTGAAAACCGCAGGTCGCTAGCTGTATCCGTTCGGAAGATATTCCTCGTAGAGTTTTCCCCATTTACTTCTGGCGCCGACATTAATAGAGTAAAAGACGAATAACACGAAGAGAGAAAAACAAGAAAGAAAAAGCAATAAAAGAAATGAAAAAGATAAATATTTATCACTTCTCAGAAGATGGTTTCGATCACTGATGCTAGAGAAGACACATGAGATTCAATAGTTTTGGAAAACTAAAACGACTGTTCTAATCTTTTGATTATACCGTAGAATTAAGAATTGTTTAAAATATAAAATTTGTATATAAATTGATATTTTAAAATAGAAATTGTTTTTCAAAAAATAAAAATTTCAAATTTTTTAGATAATGATATTACTGAAATCTTCTATTTAATTAGCTTAATTGCTTTCTTCTTTTCTTTTTAGTAGTAGGATAGAGACAACAGAAAATTGCTTAACACTAAAATATAATTGTTACTCTACTTCACCACATCAATACTAGCACTTCATTGAGTAAAAAAACTATTTATAAAATTCATGCAGAAAAATCTACATAGAAAAGTGTTTTATTATGAATTTGATTGTTATATTTAATCAATATAATTAGCATGCTATTCTATGTATCCAAAATTATTTTCAAAAGTAAAAGCAATATATATATATATATATGAGATAGATTGTTCAGTTACGATTTACTCGGTATGATGTTAAACATGTCGTGTGGTAGTCAATTTCTAATTTATGTACTTTTTAACTGTTATTTATGTTTTATAAGTACCTATATATCTATTCTTGCTGTCTAAACATTCATTACAATAAAAAAAAAAACCGTACATTCTTCATGCGACATGCTTGAAAGCTATATCTGTGACAATAGCATGTTGTACGAATTATATGCTTACAGATATATTGTTATAATATATTATTCAAGTCAATCTTCGTTGTTTTTCTGAGCATAACATTGAAATAAAACTATGAACGATCAATCATTTCTACTTTTTTTACATTTTATCTGTCCTACTTCAGCTTCAGAATTCTATTAAAAGAATGCATCATTTTTTCAACAATCATTCTTTTGCAAATTCATTATTAATTTATTATACGGACACAAATATTAGTGATCAATCTATGTTCCATTCAGCCTCGATTGACTTCTGCAAATGTTACATATAAGATTTGACAAGTTCAAACACTAATAAAGCTAAAATTTCGCATTAAAATTCAATTTCAATCTTACAATCAATATTAGATTTATATATTGTTGTATTCAAGAGCTGCAGAGATGGTTGATAATTTCCATGAATACAGTCAATCAATAAATGAAGAGTTAGGTCCAAAGAACTGAACGATTTTAAGTTTTCTTAAAATTTTCATTTAACAATACAAGTATCAATAAACAGTGTAATTGAACTTTGATACACGAAATGATCTTTTTTTAGGAAAATATTACCTCATGATCTTAGCTTGTCAATCAAAAAGTTCCAAATTTAATACTCATTTCAGGATCAGATGACAGTTTTAACTAAAGATTATTTTTTTTTTGGTTGATTCCCGTTTGTATACGATCAATCTTGAGTCTGATATTTGCTTTAGCTAATCTGAATTTGAACGAAATCTTACATTGGATGCCAATATATACACTAATGGTGTATATTATAAGATAATTATTGATTATATTTCTTCTTTAGATCAAGACGTAGTTATTCTAGCTAGAAAGTCATAAAGATAGGCAGAAGAGCTTCTTATGAGCTTTACAAAAAAAAATAAAGTTTTATTGACCAAGTCAAATGGCCGGAAAATATTATCTGAGCTCATTATTTTGGCTAGGAGATATAAAATAGAAATTGAACAGATTCAAGTAGAAGATGTTTGTTGCTTCAAAATCAGATATTTGCGAGATCTTTGTGTTATTTTGTTTCAGAGTCGCAAAGGCTTTCAAAACACATCGCATTTATTTCTCATACACATAATGAAACTCGTTCATACACATTTCTTATCTTACTATTAGCGCAAATTTGAATTAAAGTGTTGTTCCATATGTTTGCACATGTTTTATTCATTACTCTTAGATGCATGAGTATCAGAAAATTTTTTTGCACATAGAATCTCTTTTATTTCTCCACAAAATGACACAAAAAGGATTTACGCTTTCTAAAACGATAATACAAAAACACTATTAAAGAAACATAAGAAATTGTTTGTGTACAGAAATTATTTATATTTTCTTTCGATCCAAAATGAGATGCGATTTTCTGATACAAGTCGATGAATATCAACAATGCATGGTGGGTCAGTCATTGTAATTGTTTCATCACCTGTCTGCATATCAGTCACTGCTTGTTCCTTTTCGATAAAACTAAAACGTAGATATTTGAGTTGATGTTCATTAATGTGAGTGAAAATGAAATCAATCCATTTGTCAATGTTACACCATGCTGATGAGATATGTTTACACTGAATGAAACGTAGGCATTCTAATCGAGGAAAATGACGTTTATTAATAATGAAAGAAAGAAGTGGAATCATCACTTCTTCATTCAAATGTTTATTTATAATAGACGAACATTCTATATGTAGTTCATCAAGACGTTGAAGAAAAGCATCAAGATATTCATTGTCATGACCATTAGTAATCCAATAATTCAATTCACTTGTACTAACAAACAAACATTTTGTATTTGGTAATAAACGAAGCCAGCCAGTTAATTCTGCAACGAAAAAAATGTCAGTAAAATTCATACATAAGTTTTACGACAAAATTCAGTTAAACTCCCACACAGAATAAAAGTCCATTTCTAAGATTATTAGTTTCGTGCAAAAAAAAACCGGTTCACTTTGTCTAAGATGGGTCCAAATTGATTACAAGTGCAAGAACATGCGTTCTTCTATTAATTCGAAGAGTGACTAATCTCAATCGAAGTATACTTTCACAGTTGTAGCTTGTGTAACTAAGACACTCCTCCCTTATGGATTTCTATTCTGTGAGAGTTTAATGACAAGAGATAAACCGAGCCTGTGCCTTTCAGTTTCGATTGAGGTGCCTGTCGTCTCATGATCTTGGTATTGATAACTATCGGTCTCAGTCACGATTAATCTCAGTATCGTTCTTGATAGTGTGTGTAAGTGAGAGATAAATACGTTATCCACATCCTCACACACCCGCTCACCCTCAAGACCGATCATATTTAAGACTGAATAAGATCATGTCTCAGACCGAGACATGATCAAAACTCACGCCGATCGAGGCTGAGAGACTTGGACTTGATATATCTCTAGTTTAGTATTTTATTGCATCAATTCGTTGATAACATATTTTTTGAGCGTCCATTCAAAGATGCTCTCTGAGGAGTCTATGAGTTCTCTCAAACAAGATCCGTGTAATTCGATAAAGTAACCAATGCTCTATCTAATCATATCAAAATAATCAACTTTCAAGTTTTTATAGAAACTCAGGAGAACTGTTAAAAATAACATAATCAGTCCATACATTCAAAATTTGAGTCATAACAGTTCATACGCAAAAGATAAAACAAATCTGAACATACGTTGAAGATCATAATTAGTCATGGTGTCAGATGTACATATTAGTTGAAGTGTGGCGAAATGTGTAAGCTGTATATGATCATCTATATCGTCCGGTAATATTCCTCTTGTGTGCGATATTACTAATGTTTTGTCTACAACAACAATATAATTAAATACATCAAGGAAATATTTTTTTTCAAAACATAATATTAATAACTTACTCTGACTGGAGGGACATTGAAGTGCGTATAGAAATGAAACTGGTATTTTTTGCTTTTCAACCAAAGAGATAAACAAACATCTTATACCACACCAGAAACTTTTAAGTGTTATAGATAGATCATTTGGTATTTGTTGTTCTTTCTCACTAATATTGAATAGTGTGTCGATTAGATCGATTGTACGATATACAGTATTGTCGAAAAATGTGTATGGAAGAGAGAATATTTGTACATACTCAAGCACTTGATGATAATTCACACACACTCGTATGCGACCCAATGGTCCATCGAACCAGAAAGGTGTACGAAAAGCTTCAATGAAGTCATACAATATTTGTCTACTTGGTGGTTCTATGAATCGCAGTTGGATGGCAAAATGAAGTGATCGCAAATGAGATAATCTACTACAAAGAGCAGCAAGACGATGACCATCAAAGCATATATCAAGTTCGCCATTACAGTAATGAATTAAAAACAAAGAAAATTCTTCTAATGTATTATTGAATTTATCAACCAATTGCTCAAGATAACTACAATTGGATCCCACAATTTTAAAATTCCTTTAAAAAAAAAGTAGATATCAATAAAACAATACTTAGAATACAAATGTATTTTACCTTAAAATAAATACACGAATTTTTTTTGGATAATTGAATTTTGTTATTAGATTTTGATCAATAGCATTAATTTGATCAATAATACCGCTGATATTTACATCTATAAATAAAATAAATACATGTTCAACTTTTTATATCAATTTCAAAGTCAAGAAAGATGTTCGATAAGAACATTTAGATAAGATAATCAGATTAGTCAACATTCACTATTATTAAACAAAAGTCTTGTCTCTAATTAAAATATTTCTCAAATATAATTTCCTCTTCAAGCATACAAGTGGGGAAAGCTTTATCTTTATGATATCATTCGGACTAAAAGAAGTAAAAATGAATTTGATGAGTTTTAAATCCTGAAATTAGTTATTTTTTTCTTCGAAAAATCTTCTAGAAACAGAAGACATTTACAAAAACTTTCGTATGCTACAAATATTTTTATGATATAGAATACTAATTATTACCTAAATGTTCAAGCTCAGGAAGATAATGAAGAAGTACATAGAGTGTGTTTAAATTGAGAATATTGATTTTGAGATAGACAAGAGAGTGATGTGGAATATAAGTATTAACAATTGTATGTTCGTACATAATTTCAAAACCATCTTCAGCTTCTAAAGATTGCAGTTTACATCGAACGAGATTGATTGAACATCGAAATAACCAATTGAGCAAAGCTTTTGAATGGTAAGTTTGACTGGCATAAGAATCGCAAGCAAATGTACGCATCGCTGATCCACTAGCTATAGCCAATAACAGTGTGTTTATGGTATCTTCATTGACTGATGTAGTTAGAAAGATATGCAAAGAAACGAGTTGAGGAAATATTGGTTGTATGTGCTTGTATGCCATTAAAATACGAAAGATATCTTTCGATATATTATCAGATGATTTTCCTTGTCTTTCAAAATGATTTGCGACGACTGATTTTGCCACCTCATCTACAAATAAATCCATTTGAGAACATCGAACAGGACTACCTAATTTAAGAATAGTAAGACCAAGACGCCATTCAAATATAGTTGGCACTTGACGACACAGGAAACGACAAGCTGATAATGAACAATAACGTAAATCCAGTTGTTTGTAAAGTCCATGAAATTCTAATAACAATGAATTCATACGAGTGTTAAGATTTGAAAAGCTGTAGATGACATCAGCAGATGATAATTGATCCCAGATACAAAGAATAACCTCGTTTGACATGTGTTCAAATTGCAGCATTGTAAAGAAAAGTTAAAATTCAAACGATTATACAAATGAAAAATATAACTGTCTCAGTATATGTAAGCGTTGAATAGACAAATGAATGTCTTTATGAATGAAGAAAAAAAAAAAAATTTCTCTTTCCGACCGATAAAAACAACACAATGTCGATGGACCATGACCGCTCACAAATAAGAGAGCGGGGTCATTTTGATTTGATCGTTTATAATAAAAATATACAATTTATTTCGACTGTTATTTATAGCTTTGATCACAATGAATATTTTGAGATATTTTTTTTTACAAAATATTGGTAATGTTGAATTATAAATGAGATCATTTTCATTTGAACACTAAAAATTTATAGCTGTTATTTTTTTTGTTTTACTCTGATATTTAACAGCATTTTCACTTTTCTCCTATCTTAAACACAGCAAAAGCAAAATGAATACTCACTTAAATTTATACCGTATATATTCTTTTGTAAAATATGTTAGATTTGCTAAATTTTGTAATCGAAAAAAATTCATGGACGTATAATAGTCAGAGAGTTACTAGTTTATTTATTTTTGTTTCATAAATGTACTTATATTTTTCCTTCTAGCTCTCCATAGTTTACTTTATTAACCGTGTTCACAATTACAGATCTTTACTATATCTCAATTAAATGAGTTGGTTTTGTTTCTGAAAATAGATAAAATGTGAAACTGTATTCGTAACCGAAAAGTCTATACTGACGCCCATTAAAAAACCCAACAAACTTTTGCTTAATATAAAATTAAATAACTTAAGTAAAGATTATCGCTACATATAGTATTGCAATATTGTGTGAAAAAGTAAATCATTTGCTCAAGTTATCTCTTCTTTGAAGTACACTCAATAAACAGACCAACATCTACTATATTAAACGTACTTCTAATTTATGTAATTAATATATAGAATTTTTGATTACTTTAATTTGGTCATCTTCTGTACAAAACCAGTATAACAGAACAAAACCATTTATAAATTGATATAATATCAATTGAAAACATAGAAAATACATTTTACATTTTAATGTAAATAAAGAACAAAATGATAGAATAAAAATATTTATTTATTTAAAACAAACATTAAATCAGCATCATGAACAAGAATCAATAGAAATAAATGTATGTTTAGAAAACTCAAGTATTACAACTACATTTAACAAATAAATAATTTTTCATCTACTACAATTCTATTGTTACTTAACTTGGTGTTTATAAAGCAAAAACAAATTTTTATCGGAATCTCTCACAGAGAAACTTTGTCCTATTCCAAATAATATCATAAACTTTCTTTTTCATACAACATGTATAACTGCTCATAATCTCTTTGTCGGATCAGAATTTGGTTTTTCGATTGCTATAAACACAAGTGAAAAGATAATCTGTATAATTATATAAAATTTTTTCTACGCTCAAATACGTCTCGATAGAGTTTTCCGACACCTTTTGTTCTAACATTTTTGTAGCCTTTAAAAAAAAACCATTTTCAATCATATTCTTTTATATACTTTTGTACTAAAACGTTCCTCTTTCTAAAAAAAAATAAATTCGCCAGGACATTTCATCTCAACGTTATATGAAAAAACTGTTGCACGAAATTTTGACCTATCCACTGGTATTTTAGAGTAAAATTGAATTAATAAAAGAAAATCCTTCTTTGAAACTTTTCTTTTCATTGCATACATAGTAGTTAAAATTTGAACTATATTTTGCACATTAAGGAGTAAAATCTAATCGGAAGAAAAATCTAAGAATTGCTTATGCTTTCGCAAAATACAGCTAAATAGAGAAATCAATCGAAATATAGGACAAAACTATACATCGAATCGTACCGAAACATATGATACAAAGAACTTGTTTCCATAAAATAAAATTGATTTAGTCTTACAATTAGAATCGTCTTCGATCTGACAAATATTTTTTTTATTCGTCAATCGAAAGATTGTGTTATAAACTAAAATCATTGCAAATATCTGTGCAATAGCTATGTTCCTTTGATCAACAAAATTTTTAGCATCTATCCAGTAGATGTTTGTGTTACCTATCCATCTAATTTAACTTTGTGGCGAATATTTAGCTTAAAAAAATGATAGAAGTACTTTTTATATTTTATTTGAATGTACATATAATACAGACTTCATTACTATTCCTTGAAAATACAAAAAAAGATTATCTGTTTTTCTTTCATAGAAAAAAAATTCTCAATTAAACGTTCTCATTTCACAGCATTTATTAAATTCATAATATAATGCTATGTTGATTTGTTTTTAGTTCTAAAGGTATGCAATAAAATATGCTCGTGTCCGTAGTCGAGAATGTTGAAATAAACTTATTTCAACATTTTCATATGATCGTCATTTCTTTTTTCGCTACAAGTGATTGACAAGATCGGCCAAATATAAGAAATGTGTCTATGCATATGTTGTAGTCAAAATTAAGATTTAGTCAAATTT